GAACCCAGTTGCAATCTAACTACATAAAACAAGAGTAACACGGTCGCAAATGAGGTCATTAGCATTTAGTTCCTGATTAGTTTTATGATTGAAATTGTTTGTGCTTGTGGATGCTGCTGCTGGTTAGACTGATTAAGCCTTGATAATGCGCTTGGATATCTACACGCAGAGAGATGTAGAGGTTATTTGTCACCAAAACACTGTTCCACAATAAATGTGAAATGGGGTCCTGCAAGCACTCATGTAGTTTTGAAATTAGAAAACATAAAATGAAAAGTCCTTGAGGTAACATATTTTTATTCTCCCATAGACCTGGTTTTGGATTTCTGGACCTCTGTGCCTGTACTGTGTGGAAAGGCTGTACCGCTACATCCGCAGCAATAAACCAGTCACAATAACTTCAGTGATAAGCCATCCTTCCAATGTCCTTGAAGTAAGGATGATGAAAGATGACTTTAAAGCAAGACCTGGTCAGGTGAGTTAATGTGCTCCTAAAAAAAATCACTGCTGTTCATCTGCATTGTCTGTAGGGATGACTTTGACTTTGTATGTACTAATGCATCACTGAATGTTTTGAACATGTCTTTTCTATCATTTTATTTTCTCTGGCTAATTTTGTTTCAGTATGTTATTCTACACTGTCCAAGAGTGTCTGCACTGGAAAGCCATCCATTCACCCTTACAATGGTAAGAAGTACAGTTTTTTTCTGTACTTTCCCTTTTATTTACATTTGGTAAGCAAATAGTCTTTATTTCCTTCAAGGTGAAAATTCCCTCCAGAAGACCTTATGTTTCATTCACGAGGATACCAGTGAATATTAAATTGCATTATTATTATGTATGACAGTACTCAATACATATTATCATTTTCTCAACAGTGGAGAAAATTAAATGGCATTTTTTTTTTAAGTCTTCCGTAAGTGAAAAACAATAATAAATAAAATAAAATCCATGTGATTTTCATCGTGTCATAGAAAAAGTTTCAGCTATTTTTGTAGACCATAACGCAGAATGAGCACAAATTGTAATGAATTTTCTGTCATCTTTCCTATTCAATGAAAAGACGTTCCTGCAGCTGCCTTTTCCAAAGTTAGAAAAACATCAAGCTGAAAAAAGAAGTTTCTAAAATAATCTTATACTTTATATTTATATTAAGAGATACATGTATGACTTAAAGTGATATACCAGTAAAGTCATACAACACTGGGATTATGACTTACTCAGTAATAACTCAGATCTAGAATGGGAATTGGACCCCCTGGAGACAGACTGGAATAAAAGGAAATTGTATGTAAATAAACCTGAAGTTCTTCAGGAGTGAACAGTGCAGAGACCTGGGAGATGGTATGATGTTACAAAAAGCTGAGCCTAAGGTTGGATATTAGTGTCAGCCTTTAGAATTGCCTAAAACAGATATTCTTCTTCAAGAAACCATGGAGACAAATATTCATGTTTGATTCCTTTCTTTGGACTGATAACTGATACTTTATCTCCACTGAATTGTACCTAGAGCTATGGAATAGCTGAGATGTTTTACTGTTACCTGAAATTCAGAGGGCACAACCAGGTCCTGCCCACTTCCAGTCCTTCGGTTTTGTGAGGTGTTTCATGTGGTGTTTTTTGGGTTCTTTGGGGTTTTTTTTTTTTTTGTTTGTTTGTTTGTTTTTTTTTTAATTTATTTATCTATATACTGAGCCAGGAGGCAAGTAATGCCACAAGGAATCCACACTAAATTCCACCCAAAATAAATTTTGTGCTGTAAATCTCTGACTGAATCTCACTTAGGGGAAGCTGCCTCTGTATAGCTTGGTGAAGCAATATTGGCACTTGTTTAGCCTGATTTTTGCAAAGTTTTCCTGGCTATTCACTTTACTGATAGAAAACAGAGGCATGTGTTATTTATCTATTGTTAACTCCAGTAGGCAATTTTAAAGGCTTTCTTCTGTACTCTGTATTGTGCATGAAGCTATCTAGATATGCAGTGCTGAAAAATGCTGTGCATTGAGTATGATGGAACGGTGGCTGGCTTTTTGTGCAGAATGTTTCAGTCAGTATTTATTTATATTTTTTATTAGTTTAATGATCAGAAGATAAATTTAAAGAACTTTTAGCATAAGTCTCGGAGTGCTCTTTACACATATTTGACCATAGCATAGCTATATTTAATGAAGTTAGACCTGTTCTATGCCAGTGGACACATCTTATTTAAACATTAATCTCAAAACATTATGTTCTTAATTTCTGACTGTCCATCTCAGAGGAAATTAAAATAATAGTAATAATTTCATCATTAGTAGTAATTGCACAGTTTGGAAACTATGGGACTCTCATAAAGATTTACTCTTCTTGCATTAGGAGACTGCTAAAGCAATGGATTGTGTGATTCTAATTTCCAGAAATAATGGTATCAAAGAATATTAGGTCTGGTTCAGTAGTCTTTTCTCTGGCAAAACTTCTTATTTGATATGATGAGAGTTTTTATCAGAAAAGACACTGCTGACATAGACCTTCTGGGTTAGATCATAGATTGAAGTTGAGTAAGGTGTTTCATTGAAGTCAGATTATTTATGTGAGTTGAAGATTTAATCCAGTATTTAAAATGGCATACTATAATCATGTTATGAAAAATGATTTTTGTAGGAAAACTGCCAGATCTAGGAGCTATGGAAAATAGATCTCTTGTTCTGAGTCTGACTTTTCTTAATAAGTATAACTAACTTATTTCATAGAATCAAGGAATGGTTTGGGTTGGAAGGGACCTTAAAGATCATCTAGTTCCAACCCCCTGCCATCAGCAGGGACACCTTCCACTAGACCAGGTTGCTCAAAGCCTCATCCAGCCTGGCCCTGAACACCTCCAGGGAGGGGACATCCACAACTTCCTTGGGCAACCATTTATATCCAGATAATGTGCAATATGTTTCCTATACATAAGTCTAGTTGATAAATTACAGTTTGTGTAATTTTTACAGTCACATATTAAATATGTCACCTTAGAACTAGCAATTTCCACTCATACACAACGCATTATATTTTAAGTATGTAATACTAGACCAGACAATTTCTGTTCATGCTCGATGCTTTACACTTTGAAGTACAGTGATATCCTTCAGCATAACAGCATATCCTTCAAGACTGCATACATATTTTAACTATTACAAGATAGGAAGTTACCACTGAGTTACTGAGCTTCATTTTTATTGCCACAAAAATATTTTGGTAGATCATAAATTATGGTGGAGAAATGCTGTTATTGGATAAGTGGCTGTTTTACAGCATAATGAGGGTTTGAAATGTCTAGGTTTATGACAATCTTTTTTCTCAGCCTAAGCAGAGGACAGTCATTTCCACATGTCTTTCTAGGTCATGGAAAGACCTACCCTGGGGCTGCTGTCCTGCTTAGAAAGCTTTTTTGTTGTTGTTTCATATGATACCTGATGTGGGACTGTGCTTATAGAATGAGTAGGCAATAGCTTAACTCAGTATTTTTTCTGCTCTCACCTGACCTGCTTGTAGTTACCAAGCAAGTTGGAACACTACTGCTGCTTCTTTTGTTGGATGATGATAGATTCATAGAATGGTTTGGGTTGGAAGTGACCTTAAAGCTCATCCAGTTCCAACCCCCCTGCCATGAGCAGTGGCATCTTCCTCTAGATCAAGTTGCTTAAAGCCTCATCCAGCCTGGCCTTGAACACATCCAGGGAGGGGGCATCCACAACTTCTCTGGGCATCCTGGGCCAGTGTCTCACCATCCACACACCAAAGAATTTCTTTCTAATATCTAATCTAAACCTACCGTCTCCCACTTTAAAGCCATTACTCCTCATTCTGTCATTCCCTGCCCTTGTAAAAAGTCCCTCCCCAGCCTTCCTGTAGCCCCTTCAGGTACTGGAAGGCCGCTATAGGGCCTCCCCGGAGCCTTCTCTTTTCCAGACTGAACAGCCCCAACTCTCTCAGCCTGTCCTCATAGGAGAGGTGCTCCAGTCCTCAGATCATCCTTATGGCCCTCCTCTGGGCCTGCTCCAACAGGTCCACATCCTTCTTGTACTGAGGACTCCAGAGCTGAACACAGTATTGCAGGTGGGGTCTCACCAGAGCAGAAGGGCAGAATCACCTCCCTCGATCTGCTTGCTACACTTCTCTTGATGCAGCCCAGGATACGGTTATTGGCCTTCTGGGCTGCAAGTGCACATTGCTGGCTCATGTTGAGCTTCTTGTCTACCAACACCCTCAAGTCATTCACCTCAGGGCTGCTCTTGATCGTTTCTCTGCTCATCTTATATTTATGCTTGGGACTGCCCCGGCCCATGTGCAGGACCTTGCACTTGGCTTTGTTGAACTTCATGTAGTTTGCATGGACCCACCTCTCAAGCCTGTCAAGGTCCCTCTGGATGGCATCCCTTCCCTCCAGCGTGTCAAGTGCACCACACAGCTTGGTGTTGTCAGCAAACTTGCTGAGAGTGCACTCAATCCCATTGTCCATGTCACCAACAAAGATGTTAAATCCTGGGTAATCCCTGGGTTATTTTTCTAGGCTTGTGTAGAAGTGTGGGGCTCAGCAAGAGTAGCATGAGAGGCACATGGGACTTCAGATACTGGAAGTGCAGTGTACTGATGACTGCAGCAGAGCTAAGGGGAAGACTGCAGCTTTCTTCCCAGTGCTGTTGTCCTGCTTACAATCTCATAATTATAGAAGAGTTTGGATTGGAAGGGACCTTTAAAGGTCATCTAGTCCAACCCCCCTGCAGTGAGCAGGGACACCTTCAACTTGATCAGGTTGCTCAGAACCCTGTTCAATCTGACCTTGAATGTTTCCAGGGATGGGGCTTCTACCACCTTTCTGGGCAAACTCTTTCAATGTTTCACCACCCTCACTGTAAAAATTTTCTTTCTTACATGTAGTTTAATCTCCTCTCTTTTCATTTAAAACCATTACACCTTGTCCTATCGCTACAGGCTCTGCTAAAAAGTCTGTCCTCAGACTCTGTGATGTCCTGTTGTATCTGATGAAACATCTCACTGTGCCTGGAGTATGCTTAAAAGGCAAGAAGTGAATAGTTCAGGCATATCTTTATACTCTTCAGTGAGAACTAGAAGCAAAAGTGGAAAGGAAAGGGTGAGTCAGCATGAAGGAGTCATGCAGATATTTTACTAGTCCCTTCCCTTTTTGAGGTTGTGTAATATTTACAGTTTAACTCAGTTTCTTACATAAGGCCGGGGTGGAGGGAAACACTGGGAGGATGCGTAAAGGGCCTGAACCCACTCCCATTGCCCTCTGGCAAAGCTCCCATGTATTTCACTTGGAGCTAGAGGGAGCTCTGAATCGTAACCAAGTGTACGTAAAGAGGTAGACATTGTTCAGAAATGTGTGCAGTGGCATTTATTTGCTTTTCCATTTTGTCAGTTGTAAGTGTTCTTCCCCCTGCTGATGGAAGGAATGAGCAGAAGTCATTGATGCAAAACGCACACAAGAATTTGGAGAAACAAAACCCATGTTGCTCTGAACTCAGAACTGCCAGTCTGACTTCTTTGCTAACATGTGACCTGGCTCTGCTGTCAAAGGCTTCAAAGGAATCACAGAATGGTTGATATTGAAAGGGATCTCTGGAGATCTTCCTGTACAACCCCCTGCTAAACCAGGGCCACCTAGGCCCAGTTGCCCAGGACCATGTCCAGATGGCTTTTGA